GATTGTGAAAGGCATATGTCTAATATAAAGGGCAACAGAATTGGGCTCTGGAGTCAGGACACAAGGAGGGTGGATTGACATAAGAATGAGAAATGTGGGGAACAGCTAGGTGTCACAGTAGATAGAGCTCCAGCCTTGGAGTCAGGAGGACCTGAGTTCAAATGTGACCTCAGACACTTGATACTTACTAGCTGTGTGACCCTGGGTAAGTCATTAACCCTGACTGCCTAAGTAAAAAAAAAATTTTTTTAAAAAGAGAGAGTAATGTGGGAGTGGAGATCACTGTGATTCTTTTTTTCCCTCCTTTAATAGTATTTTTTTCCAATTACATTTAAAGATAGTTTTCAACATTCACTTTTATAAGATTGAATTCCAAAATTTTCTCCATCCTTCCCTTCCCTCCCCAAGACAGCAAGCAATGTGACATAGGCTATACAAGTACAATCATATTCAACATATTTCCACATTAGTCATGTTGTGAAAGAAGAATCACAGCAAAAGGGAGAAAAACCGTGAGAAAGAAAAAACAAAAAAAAAGTGAAAATGATATGCTTTGACCTGCATTGACTCCATAGTTCTTTCTCTGGCTGTGTGGACAGCATTTTCCATCATGAGTCTTTTGGAATTGACTTAGATCCTTGCATTGTTGAGAAGAGCCAAGTCTATCAAAGTCAGTCATCGTACAGTGTGGCTGTTACTATGTACAACATTCTCCTGGTTCTGCTCATTTCACTCTGCATCAGTTCATGTAAGTCTTTCCAGGTTTTTCTGAAGTCTGTCTGCTCATCATTTCTTAGAGCACAATAGTATTCCATCACATTCATATACCATAACTTGTTCAGACATTTCCCCAGTTGATGGGCATCCCCTTAATTTCCAATTCTTTGCCACTATAGAAAGAGCTGCTATAACTATTTTTGTACACATGGGTCCTTTTCCCTTTTTTATGATCTCTTTGGGATACAGCCCTAGTAGAATCACTGTGATTCTGAATGGGGTCATGGAGCAGTATGTACGCCCTTCCCAGCAGCCAAGGTATTGCGGTCTTGATTATGGTCCTGAGCAGGAGGTGTGTCTGTCAGTGCGTGGGGGTCAGAGTGCAGATGGAGACCGCCTGGTAGGATCTGAGGGTCAAGGCAGCAGTAGGGGAGTCCCAGCAACTAGTTGATAATAGGCATATTGAGGTATTTGCCCCTTTCAGTACTTAGCTAGGTCAGCTCTGCCTCAGGCTGACACTTTGTACAACAGACTTCCCCCACTCCCCAATTCTCTATATACCAGGCACTTCCAATTTACTCTGAATAGAACTTTTATGTACATAATTTTGTGCATGTGGTTTTCTTCACTAGATTGTGAGATCCTTGAGGGTAATAAATGTTTTGGGCTTTTATTTATATACCCAGGGCTTGGCAGAGTGCCTGGTAGCACTTAGTAAATGTCCTTTCTGGCAGCTAGGCTTTGGAGTCCAGAAGACCTGAGTTTGAATTCAGCCTCAGACACTTACTAGCTTTGTGACCCTGAGCAAGCCACTCTGTCCACCTCAGTTTCCTCTTCTGTAAAATGGAGATAATAACAGCACCTTGCTGTCAGAGTTGTTGTAAGGATCAAATGAGATACTAACTGTAAAGTGCTTAGCAGAGTGTCTGGAACATAGTAGGCACACTATAATTGCTAGCTATTATCAGTATTATTGTTATCTTCTATTTACTTATACGCTTAGCTGTCTCTTTTAGAACGTAAGCTTATAGAAGACAGGGACTGTTTCCTTTTTTATCTTTGCATCCTCAGGACCTAGCACATTGCCTCTACAAACCTCAGTGATCCCCATTGCAACCCTTCTCCTGTAGATTGCCCCCTCTATCATCCCTACCCACTCACTAAATCTTCAGCCTTTTCCTGTGTATTGGCGGATTCCCTACTGCCTACACGTCTCAGAAGTGACCTGAGTTCAAGGTTCTTCCCCCTTACTAGCCAGGTGACTTTGACTGAACAAGTCAGTTTCTGGCTCTGAACATTCATTTCCGTTTCCTCATTGGTAATAATAATTACACAACAAACCTTTGAAGGGTTGTTGTGACCATCAGTCAGTCAACAAGTAAATATTTATTAAGCACCTACTATGTGCTGGGCATTGTGCTAAGTATTGGAGATATTTAGTCTAATGGGGGTGACCACATGCAAACAATTATGTACAAACAAATGTAGACAAGATAAATTGGGGGTAGAATCAGAGGGAAGACATGAAGATGAAGGAGGACCAGGAAAGGTTTATAGAACGAGGGACTTTAGCTGAAACTTGAAGGAATTCAGGAAAGCCAGGAGGTGGAGATGGGAGAGAATTCTAGGCGTGGGGACAGCCAGTGAAAATGCTTCTAATAAGGAGATGTTGTGTCTTGTGTGAGGAATAGCAAAGAGGTCAGGGCCACTGAATCACGGAGCACTTGGGGTGAAGTGTAATTAGACCGGAAAAGGTAGAAGGGGGCCAGGATAGGAAGGGCTTTAAAAACTAGAAGACTTTATATTTTATCTTAAAATTTTTTTATTATATCGTTATGCATGACTAATGTTTAACATGATTGCACACGTATAACCTATATCAGACTGCTTGCTGCCTTGGGGAGGGGGAAGGGGAGGGAAGGAGAAAAATTTGGAACTCAAAATCTTTTTAAAAACGAATGTTGAAAACTATCTTTACATGTAGTTGGTGGGGCAGCTAGGTGGCACAACGGATAGAGCACTCCCTGGAGCCAGGAGGACCTGAGTTCAAATTCAGCCTCAGACACATAATACTAGCTGTGTGACCCTGGGCAAGTAACTTAACCCCATTGCTTAGCCAAAAAAAAAAGTTTAATTGGAAAAAAAATACTATTTACAAAAAAAAAATTATACTGTGTTATGGAAATGCTTGTTTCATTCCATAAATTAAAATTTTAAAAATAATAGGGAGCCACTGAATGAGGGCAATGCAACCTTTTTGATTGGGTCTACTACATATATTTACACAGTCTTAACTGGGTCCTCACTGCTGCCAGGCAATTCAATTATCAATTCACTCTCCCACTCTCTACAGAGGCTCTTCCAAACCTTTTCATCCCTCCTGAAACCTCCTGCTCCACCCACTCTCAGCTGAGGACCCTGTCTCATCTTTAGCAGACAAAACTGAGGCCACTGGCCATGAGCTTCCTCTTCTGCCCTCTTCTTCCTCAGTTCATATCCCTCATGTCTCCTGCCTCTATCTCCTTCACCTGTATCACGTGATGAGCCTTAAAAGACTATCCCTTGTATCTGCTCAAGCAATCCCATTCCATCCTGTCTCCTCCAAAGTATCATCCCTTCTCTATCACTTCATTTCAATCTCTCCCTGTCTACTAACTCCTTCCCTACTGCCTACAAACATGCCCGTGTCTCTCCCATTCTCAAAAAATCCTCGATTGATTTTTTTCCATCTCCAATAACTATCTTTCTATATCTCTTTTACCTGTTGTGGCTGAAGTCCTTAAAATGCTTGTCTGAGGCAGGTGCTTTCCACCCTAATTCAGCTTCCACCCTCATCATTCCACTGACACTACCCTCTCCAAAGTTACCGAGAATCACACACAATTGCCCAATCCAACTGCCTTTACTAAATCCTCATTCTCCTTGACCTCTCTGCAGCCTCTGACACTGCCGATCGCCCTCTCCTTCTCGATACTGTCTTCTCGTGGTTCTTAGGAGGCCACTCTGTCCTACCTTTCCGGCCAGTCCTCTTGCCTTCTTTGCTGGATCCTCCTCCACTCTTAACCATAGGTGTCCCCCAAGGTTCTGGCCTGGGCCCTCTTCCCTTTTTCCCCTCTATACTTCTCTTGGTGATTTCATCAGCTCCCAAGGATTTAATGACCACCTTTATGCTAACAATTCTCAAATCTACCTATCCTATCCTAATTTCTCTGCTGACTGCCAATCTCACATCTCCAACTGCCTTTCAGACATCTTGAAGTGGATAACCAGCAGACTTGAACTCAACATGTCCAAAACTGAATGCATTATCGTCCCCCAAAAGCTTTTTCCCCTCCTACTTACTGTTGAAAGCAACACCATCCTCGTAGCTGCTCCGGCTAGAAACCCAGAATCATCTTTCACTCTTTACGCCCTCCTTGAATATGCAATCCGTTGCCAAGGCCTGTCCATTTCACCTCTACAGCCCCCTCTGTCGTCACTCTAGTGAAGACCCTCATCAGCCTCCACCTGAGCTATCATAGTCTACTGGCGAGTCTGCCTGCCTCATGTCTCTGCCCACTCCAAATTACCCTCCACTTTCCTTCAAGTCTGCTCTATTTCACCACCCCCATGTGGTGTGGCTCGCTATCATTTCCCGGATCAAATACAAAAATCCTGTGTTTGGCCTTCAAAACTGACCTTTCTAGCCTTCTTATACCTTACTTGCTCTCGAGTCCTCTCAGACCCAGTCATCCTGGCCTCCAGGCTCTGCCACCAACAAGACAGTCATCTCTCGGCTGTGGGCATTTTACATGGTTGCCCCCCACTCCTGGAAATGCTCTCTTCTCATCTCCACCTACTGGCTTCCTTTAAATCCCCACCAAAACCCTTCTTCTTCAAGAAGCCTTTCCCAAGCACTCAATTATACTGCCTTCCCTCAGTTAATTATTTCCTATTTATCCTGGGTAGAGCTTGTTTTTACATATTGTTTGCTCTTTGTCTCTCCCCTTAGACTGTGAGCTCCTTGGGGGTAGGCACTACCTTTTGTCTCTTTCTGGATCCCCAGGGTATTTCACAGTGCCAGTAGTAGGCACTTAATAAATGTTTAAGGGGTGGTGAAGTAGATACAGCTCCAGGCCTGCAGTCAGGAAGATTAGCTCTCCAAGTGAAAATCTGACCTCAGACACTTAGTAGCTAGCTGTATGACCCTGGGTAAGTCACTTCCTCCTGTTTGCCTCACTTTCTTCATCGGTAAAATGAGCTAGAGAAGGAAATGGCAAACCACTTCAGTATCTTACCAAGAAAACCCCAAGTGGGGTCACAAAGAGTCAGACGTGGCTGAACAACAACAATAAATATTTGTAAGACTGTATTGAGGGATGAGAATAGAGATGGGGTACACAGGAGGGATAGTATGAAGGCAGAAATGACAGGGTTTGCCAACTGATTCCTGATGGAGGGCAAGAGTGACTAGAAGGATGATGGTATGATTTATAGTACTGGTGAAGTTAGGAAGAGGGAAGAGTTGGGGAGGGGAATCATGTGTTTAGTTTTGGACACATTGAGTTTTAGATGTCTACTAGACCTCCTGTTCCATATGTCCAATAGGCATTTGGAAATACTCCACTGCAGGCCTCCAATTCTAGACTGAAGGTCTCTAATTCCAGACTTGGAGGTCTCCAATCACAGACTTGGAGATCTGTTCAAGACTGGAGGTCTCCAACTCTTGGTTTCCTTCAGGTCACAGCTAAAATCTCACTCATTACAAGATGCCTTTCCAGGTCCCCCTTAATTCTAGGGCCTTCTTTCTGTTGATTATCTCAAATTAATCCTGTATTTATCTTGTTGATATATAGTTATTCCTAATTAACATAGACTATGAGCTGCCGGTGCAGGCACAGAGTAGACACTTACTAAATGTTTCTTGACCAATAAAAATTTGTTTAATTTAATTTTCTAATTGAATCGAGAAAGTAGTGGGGGAGAACGGAGGATGCTGAGAGGAGTTCTGAAGTGTGGAATAAGGGAGAAGGGGGAGCTTACTGTGAATGCCTTTAATTTTCTCATTGAAGTCAGAGGAAATTCTTTGCTAAGCAGAATAAAGGACAGGAACTTAAAATAAAAAAAGAAGAAACTCACACTTTCACACCCTTCCCCAAAGGCCATGATATCACCCCTACACACACACACACACACACACACACACACACACACACAAATTCACTTTCCGCAACACTCCACATTCTAAACATTCAATTTCACAAGACACCCTAAACAGAAAAGACATTCGATTTTTGAAAATATACCCCCACACCAGCCACTAGATTACAAGAAGCCCACTCCACACACACACATTTACTTTCACGTGCACCTCCTCCCTCCATATACAACGATACAGACACTCCCTTTCTCGAGCACACCACAACACCGAGCACGCTCCCCTTCCAACACACGCACCCAGGATAACTCACACACACTTTCGGCCCCGTCCTCCAAGCGGTGGGTGGGGCGGGGCTGCTGCTCCTTCTCAGTTCCCAGGCAACCAGAGCTCTGGGATCTCCTCGCCAGCAAAGCCAAACAGTCTCAGGAGGGTTCCCTCGACCTCCCTCACCCCAGTCCCAGCACGTCCCGCAGTCCCAGACAATTCACAGAAGCCGCTTCAAAGCCCACTCGGTCTGGGCGTTCGTGGGTGTAGGATCCGGGAAGGGGCCGGCGGGGAAGGGGCTTTGGGAGAGACCATCAGGCACGCTCCAGGAGCCTTTAGTTAGCCCAGGCGGGTGGAGACAGGATTCAGCAAATCCCTCCCCTCTCCTCGAGCAATCCAGTGCTTCGGGGAAGGGGGGGTGATCAGGGTGGGGCCAGGAATCCCCACGACCTGGCTGCTGGACAGAGGTGCCCCACGGTGGCCTGCTGGGGGGAGCTCGATATTGGGTCCCCTCCCTTGCCTCAGTTCTCGGGTAGGTGAGATGATCTCCCCCTCCCTATTTTCCAAGGGGCTTTCAAACGAGGCAGTATTTGTAAAGTGCTCAGCACGGTTCTTGGCCCAGGAGTAGGCGCCACATAAACGCTCATTCCCTACAGTGAGATGATCTCCCCCTCCCCACTTTCCAAGGGTCTTTCAAACGAAGCAATATTTGTAAAGTTCTCAGCACGGTTCGTGGACCTGGAGTAGGCGCCACATGAATGCTCATTCCCTACAGTGAGGTTATCTCCTCCTCCCCACTAAGGGACCCTCTAGCCATGCCGGAGGTGGGGAGTGGGGACAGGGGGATATCCCGAGAAGAATAAAGCATGAGTGTGGAGCTCCGGGGAGGGGAGAAGAAGAGAGGTCCTGGCAGGGCAGGGCCCGGGGTGGGGCGGAGGAGGACGGGGCGCCCGCTGGACAGCCGTCGTCCCGCTCACCTGCGGCCGCGGAGCACGTGGGCCGTCGATTCCCAAACTTCAGGACACTGGCCAAAGGGCGCGAAAGTCTTGGGGGAAGGGGAGGCCAGGTGGCGGAAGGAGCCGCTTGGGACCCCGCCCCGGTCAGGTTACAAATTAGCCCGAGGTCTGGCGCTGGGCTCCGGCTGGGGGACAGGTGGAGAACAGCGGCGGGCAGGCAGGTGGACAGAAAGGCGGGCCGGGGTCTGCACTCTCGGTTCGGAGATTGCCTGGGAGTGAGGGGTCTTTCCCTCCGCCGCCATGCCTCTCTCCCGCCTTCCAACGCCGCATCTTCTGCATGGGGGAGGGGACCATTCCCTGGGGTCTGTTCTAGCTCTCCCGGGCTCAGCTGGCGGCTCCCCTTCTGTTTGGAGAACCTGGATCCAGCCCTCGGGGAGAGCCCTGTCTAGAACAGCCACCGACGCTCCGCTTTCCTCGTCCTGACGCCCAGCTCTGAAAGCCAGCCGGCCACAATCAAACGCAGCATTCGCTTCTGTTTTGTTCTCTGTTCCGGAGCGTTAATCCCGAGGCTTCCCCTTAGATGAGCAGCTCCGAGCCTGCGTGTCTCCTCTCTCAGCCCCCTCCCCTCTTTCTGCACCTAGGATTGGAGCACACAGTAGGCTCGAGAAATGCTTCCGCAGCTGGGAACTAATGCAGTGCATGGACTCGCAGAATTTGAGTGGCCTTAGAGGTCGGTTGCTCTAATTGCTAGTAGTAGGGCCATTATCAAAAACGAGGGTGGGGGTTTGAAGGGCAGCAGGGTGCCTTCCTGCTCCAACATTCTGTGTTCTAAGGGCCCTTTCCGCTCTTCCATTCTGGGATCTTAAGACTGCTGTCTACCTCTACATACCTGCTCCCTGGGTCACGTAGGGAGGAAGTGGCCTAGTGGAGTCGTAGCCCTGGATTTGGAGTCAATGACCTGCGTTTATGTCTTTGCCAACTTACTAGCCCAGGTGACCTTGACTGGGCAAATCATTTTCTGACTCTGAACCTCCTTTTTCTCGTCTGTAAAATGGCGGTAATATTTACACTATGTATTGTTGGGGGCATTCAGTCAACAAGCATCTATTATACACCTGCTAAGTGACAGACACTTTGCAGAGCACTGGGGAATCAAAGAACAGCAAACAACAGTCTGTGCTCTCAAGGAGCTTACAATTTAACAGATGCAAACAACTGTACAGAATAAACAGGATAGTCTGGGAGTAGTCTCAGAGGGGAGGCATTGAGAGTAGACACTGGGAAAGTCTTGTAGAAGGTGGGATTTTACTTAGGACTTGAGGGAGCCAGGGAAGCTGGGGGGGTGCAGAGAGGAGGAGAGAATTCCAGACTTGAGGGACAGCCAGTAAAAATGCTAAGTAGAGAGATGGAATGTCTTGAATGAGGGAGACAGCAAGGAGGCCCATGGATGCTGGATCTCAGAGTATCTGGGAATAAGGTGTGATTAAAGATAGAAAGAAGCCAGGTTATGAAGGATTTTAAAAGCCAGAGGATTTTATATTCGATCCTGGAGGTAATGGGGAGTCACTGGAATATATTGAATAGGGAGGCAGGTGATGTGGTTAGACCTAACTTCCAATGAAAGAGTGTATGCAAAACACTTTGTCAACTTAAAAGTCTTAATAAATAAATTAACATTAGTGTGTCTGGCCTGGGAAAGGCAGCCCCTTCTGAATGTTAACTTAAGCAAATTATCATCAGGGAAAGTAAACTTTGCTGGAGAAGCAGTCTCATAAAGTCCTTCTGTTCTTTGAACAGACAGGCACTAAAACCAAGTTACAGGGAAGGTGCAGGGAGGATTCAGAGATGAATAACACCTGCTTCTTTGCCCTCCAGGAGTCTATAATGTAGGGGAATAGAACCTGGGCACCAATAATTGGAACAGGAGGTGTAATGATGATAATGGAAGTGCTATCGGAGTTCAGATGTTGGGTTATCGTAAGTTCGGGGCTAAAGTCCCCTCAGGTGGACGCTTAGCAGCCACAGAACAAGAGTGGATCTTAATACCGCACTTTAGCGCTGGAAGCTCTAAAGAGGAAGCAGTCCGAGCCAGGACTGACCTGGAGGTGACCCCCGAACAGGGCCTTACTGTCCCCAGGTGACCTCGTACAGGCCCAAGTTGCCATTTTGTCCCCGTTGGGATATTTCCACCGGGCTTCCTGGAATCAGCAGCGTGGGCCGAGGGCCGAGGGCCGCAGGTGAGGGAGGACGTGACTTTGCCGTCCGTCCCCTCCGCCCTCCGGTTGGGGCATTCGGAATCCAGGCGCACCTGGCGGCCGGGGCCAGCGAGGGGCCGGCGGCCTAAACGGAGGGAACCGGGAGGGGCGAGGCCGGGTGGGGGCTGGGGTGGGTGAGTGTGTGTGTTGTCTCCTCTGCCTCCTCCTCTGATCTCCCCAAACCAATCAGGCCAGCTGCGCCGGGCCGATCCTCCCCTCCCCAGGTCCCTCCTCCACCACCCCGCAGGAGCCAATGCCCGCTCCCTAGGGGAGCCGCCTCCAGTCACGTGGCCCGGGCCGGGGCAGGTAACTCCGGCGAGGGCGGGGGCGGTGGGGGGAGCCGGAGCTGGCTGGGCCCTTGCCATGAAGCCAGAGGGGAAGAGCCCTAGCGCGGTCACCTCGCCTCCACTTGGCCCCGCGCGGAGAGGCGGCGGACGCAGGGCTGGAGGCGGCCGGACGGAGCAGCAGCCCTGGCTTCAGGTAGAGCCGCCCCGTCTGGGTTCCCCCCTCCCGGGTCTCACGGGGTCCCCTGTGTCGTGCTCCCGGTGCTCGGTGGGTGTCTCCGGCCCTGACCCGTGTCTTTGATTGTAGCCCTCCCCTCCCCGGGCCATGACGCCGCCGCCTCCTTCTGCGCACCCTGACTCCCTGGTGGTCTTGTTTGGGGCAACCGCTGGTGCTCTGGGGGCTAAACTGGGCTCGGATGAGAGGGAATTAATTCTCTTGGTGTGGCAAGTTGTGGATCTTCACAGCCGGAAGGTAGGGACGGCGGGGCCGCGGCCGGGTCGGTGCTGGTCGGTGGTGGTGGCGGCGCGGCGGCGGCGACGCTGGGGGCTGCGGGCGGGCTCGAGGCGCGCCGGGGCTGGGGGCGGGCGCTCCCGGGCCCCCGTCCCGGAGCCACAAAGGCGAGCCGGCCCTGCCCTCGGGGCGCTTCCCGAGCTGGCCGCGAGCTGCGCGCGCGTTGGCGTGCTGGGGGTGGGGGTGGGGGTCCGGCGGCTCCGGCCGCTCGGGGCCCCCCAGCTGGCTCCTTGGGGTCATGGGGGGGAAGGACGCGGGGCAGGCTTTGGAGGTGGGACGGGAAGGCCGCGGCCCACGGGGCGCGCCGGGGCTGGGGGCCCGGGCCCCCCGCCCGCCGCTGACTGCACCCCCTTTCCCCCCGCGGCCGCAGGTGGGGACCCTGCACAAGTCCCTGGTGCGCGCTGACGACACGGAGCTGAGCGAGCAGTGCAGGGAGGCGAGCGGTCTGAGCGCGGAGGGGCTGGGCCGGGCCGAGCCGCTGGACAAAGTGCTGCAGCAGGTGAAGGGTTAACGTGATTGGGGCTGGGGTCCCCGCCCCTCTCTGGCTTGGCTGCTTAGACTCTCTGCCTCCTCCCCCCCTCAGCACGTGTAGCTTCCCTCTGCCCCCACTTAGTTCAGCAAAGCTCTCCTTTAGGGAAAAACTTCCAGGGAAGGACTCGGCGCCGGAGGGGGGAGGGGAAGGGATCGAAATCTGCTCAGTTTGGGCTACTTCTCTCCCCCTCCTCAAGTATTACCCCTACCCCCGTGAGGCAGTTTGAGGGGATCCCCTGACTTTGGCGGGGGAGGGGGGCAGCTGGGAGTACTTGGGAGTTCCAAAGAGGTCTTGTTTTTGACGCAGAAGAGAGCTGGGTCGTTTTTTGTTTTATTTTTTGGGGGGTTCCAGTGTATATTGGGTGTCTGGGAAAATTCAGGTGGGGGTGTTGTGTTGGGGGGGTTGGCTGCCCCCTTGTAGTTAAGCCAAACCTGCCAGGGCAGTAGAACTAGTTTCTGTTGTTTTAAACTCTCAGTGACTGGGGTGATTTTTTGGGGAGGAGGGGTGGGAGTTTCTGCGAGGGGGGAAGAGTACTTCAGGGATGGGGGTGAGCCCCTTCTCCTGTCCAGCCTGGTCCCCTGCCCTGGATGTGGGGATGGGGGAGGGCAGGCTGTCCCCTCCAACTTTCGCAGGTCTGAGCTTGTCCTTGGTTTCACCAGAGGTTGGGGGTATATTATCCCTGCCTTTCCTATGAACCCCTTTATGACTTGAGCTACCGGGTCCAAGGCAGGTGGGATGGCAGGAAGGCCCCTAGGGGGGTGGGTGGGCATGGTGGGGTGGAGTAGGTAATTCAAGGGCCTGGGAAGAAACAGATTTTCCTGTCACAGTGGGGCTGGGCCAGGCATCAGGCCTAGGCTTGGGATCCAGCCTGGTGGGAAAAGCACATTTGGGAGAGCTGATGGTGCCTTTCATTTCTGCCTTGTGCTACCCTCATCATGGGTCTTTGAGGCCTGATCTCTGTTCTCTGTAGTATTTTTGCATGGTCCCCTTTCCTCCTGATCTAGGAAGGGCCATATCTTTCCTCTTAAGTTTCCCCTCCTCCTTCCCAAATTCAGTCATGCCCCAGGGGAAGCTCATAGTTGTATGCCTAACGTTAGAGGGGAGATGCTCAGCATTTTTCGCGCCTTCCTTCCTGCCCCCCCCCAAATATTTCAGATATAGCAGGGGCCTAGACTGGTGGACCTCTTCTGGGATCTATAGGTGACTCAAAAAGCTGGTGTGGGTGTGAGACTTTCATAGGCTTCAGTGGGGTATAATTTAAAGAGCACTGGTTTTACAATCAGAAGACTAGGTTTTGAATCCTGGTTCTACCATTTGCCTATCTCCTCCAGCCTCAGTTTCCTCATCTAATGAGGTAGTAGGTGTTTTTTTTTTCCTCTAGAGTCCCTTACATTTCATAGGTTCAGTGAATTTTCCCACCTCCACCCCTCTCTGATGGCAACTTGCCCTGACCTCTGAATAGGGAGGATAAGGTAGGGACAGGTTGTTTGGGTTCCTGGCTCCTTGCTGACTAAATGTGCCTGTGGGCTTCTGCTTGTGCTCTCAGGGGGCCCTACCCACTACATACATATCCCAGGTCACCCCATTGGTACTTGAGTCTAGGGGGGAGCATTCAGCCCTTGATTCCTGGGTTTGAGGGGAGGGAACTTGGATATCTGTCCTTTAGCTTATTGGCAGGGAGTGATGAGACAACCTTAGGGAATCCTAGCTATTGGTCAGGAGAGGGGGATATGCTGCACAGAATGGGGACTTATTTAATCATAGGGGAACCATGAGGTTGCTAACCGCTATGATCTCCCCTACCCGCAAGACCAGAGGTTCCTCCCTAGGAAAAGGAGATCCTTTTCTGGGGGATGGGGCTGGTGATGGATAAAAAGCCTGGTGGTCCGTCATCTTGGCCATTTGTCTGTGGGAGAAGGCCCCTTTTACTTTTGGGGGGCAGATGAGGACAGGAACAGTTTGGGAGTGGATTTTGAGTGTTTGAATAGACACTGATGGCCTGGATCCCTCTCCATTATGCCCTTCCCACCCCATCAAGGCAAGGCTGCTACCTTGCCAATATTTGTATTCATGACATTCCCACTTGAGAGTTCAGGTCTTGCTTGGTGTCTGGGTCTGGGTATGTCAGCCTGCCTCTCCCGCTTTCCCGAAACCCCTTTTCATTCTCAGTTTTGCTTTATAGGGTAGGGGAAAGTGACTCATTTTTCATGATTCCTCGCTCCCTCCCTTTCCCAATGGAAATAGCTTGATCAGCACTGGAGGTGGGGTGGGGAACAAGTCAAGAGTGAGAAAAATTGGGTGTGATGGGTTCCTCGTCCCCTAAGGTAATCAGTTGGAGGTTCCATGATTCTCCAGTAGGGCAGTTTCCAGCGGAGATTCTCCTTTGACTTGGGAGGCCCAGGGACCTTGTTGGGTAGGATGGGAAATGGAGC